AATACATAAAAAAATTTAAAAAGTATATTTCTGCAATATGGTTTACATGTCACATCGAGGATAAATAATGTCGTTTTATTTTTTTTTTTATTATATTTCAATTTTTTTCAAATTCTAGGATTGTTCCGTTTTTTTTCAATTACAAACAATTTTTTGCCGTTTCAAGCATTTTTGCAATAAATCTCTCTCTCATATATATATATATATATATATATATATATATATATATATATATATATATATATATATGAGAGATTTAATGCAAAATGCTTGAAATGGCAAAAAATGTATATATATATATATATATATATATATATATATATATATATATATATATATATATATATATATATTTATATATATATATATATATATGTGAGAATTGAAAAAAAACGTAAAAATCCTAAAATTTGAAAAAAAAAAAAATGAAATATAATAAAATAAATCTCTCTCATATATATATATATATATATATATATATATATATATATATATATATATAGAGAGAGAGAGAGATTTATTGCAAAAATGCTTGAAACTGCAAAAATAATGATGCAATTGAAAAAATTCACACACACGCATATATGTGTGTGTGTGAATTTTTTCAATTGCAATCATTTTTTGCAGTTTCACACACACACACACACACATATGTGTGTGTGTGTGTGTGTATGTATATGTGTGGATTTTTTCAATTGCAAACCGTTTTTTGCAGCTTCAAGAATTTTTTAAATAAGTCTCTCTGTATTTATATATATATATATATGTGTGTGTGTGTGTGTGTGTGTGTGTGAATTTTTAAATATTGTACAAGAAGTGGAAAACTAAACCAGTGTGTTGAGTTCATTCACATTATAGCAGCAGAAATTAGTCTTGTGTTCACGAAGATAAAAAAAGCTTACTTGACAAGAAATGAAACATACACAAATGAGAGGAAAGACATGATACATTGTATGTTAATTTCATACAATTTAATTATATTTTTCTTGTGTATATTGGTATGTGTATTTTTTAGGTTACAATTATTTTATGATACATGTGATATGTGATAAAAGGGAGAAGTTACTCCATAGTATTACAAGGCATATCACAGAAAGAAGTCGGACTTGTGTTACCCATACCAAGGTTTGTGGTGAAGAGATTGAATTTAACCTCTTTTGGCGGAATGTCCGTATTTCCGGCAGAAACAGCTTTTGTTGCATGCTGGGAGAGTTTTTATTATCTTTTATTCTTATTTGATTTATTTTTTTAAAAAGTTAAAATATTATTGTTTTATTTTATTTACAATTTTCAATTATTATTATTTTATTTTTTTTTATTTTTATCTATTTATAATAATAATAACATCCCTACACCATAATTCATAGAGGGTTAAAAAAAAAGCCACAAATTATATTTTCTATTACTTTTTACTTAAATCTGTTTGTGTATATAAGAATGCGTACATCCATATCGCTGCTTCTGCATTTTCACATGCCAATATATATGCATAACATTTTTAGAGTGTATATAAATGCCTGCGTAAATCTAACGTCACAAAAAGCGTATTCCCAAATAACTGCGAACTCCAAACTAATCCAAGAACATGAGTAATGCCTCAACCGTATTCTTTAATAATTATAGTCTCTCTAAACGTATTCCCAAACAAACGTACACCCCAAGTCTATTACCAAATAACTGTCTCAACAAGCGTATATACCTAAAACTTTTCAAGACTCAAACTTATTACCTAAATATTTTTGCTTTAAAATGATACTTTATACTGATGAAGCTCCAACAATAAATATTTGTGAAGCCTCGGCGGTATTCCAACATAATTGTACAGCTCCGTGCCTATTCCTAAATACGTGTGATGTCTGAAGCGTATTCTTTTAAATATTTGTGAACTCATAAACCACTTGTGAAGACCCAGAGGCGTATTTTCATTCAAATAAATGTGAAGCTGTGTGCTTATCCTCAAATATTTGCGAGGAAATGCATTCCTAAATAACTCTTATTCCCAGAAATGTAAACATTAGTCAAATATGGATAACAAAATAACTTGCTTCAAGAATGTAACAGAAAGAGAGTTGGAAAAAAAAAAAAAATAAAGGATTGACCAGAAAGGAAATGTTTGAAAAGTCTGCTATCGCAAAAGTAAACAAAAAGAGAATCAGTTAAAGATATTGATAGACTGATTCATATTTTACGGTTTATCAACCCTCTGCAAGTTATTTAAAGTCAGAAAATATTTTTAGATTGCAAGAATTTGGTGGTGGGCGGGGAGAAAATAAAATACTTAGTGATACAACTTTTACTAACTAACCCATATCTAGGGGCGGGAGAAGATGTGGGTTCATGCCTTTCCCAAGTGTATTGGCGTGCAAGTGAATATAACGAACCCAACTGGAATTGGAAATCGACTCTCAGGTTAAAACATAACTTCTTGCAGAAAGATTGATTGATTCGTTTTTATGGCTTATCAACCTTTTGCAGGTTATTTAAAGTCATCCATTTACTTAAGCCCAATAAGTATGTTATGCGTTGTTGTTCCCTGTCCCTCTTGCCGTCAGTCTGTCTTGTGACTATCAAATTTTCCAAGTCCTCTTTCCTCATTATGTGCTCTAGAAATTTAAACTATCTCTTTCTGATGTTAAGTATAAGTGTCCTTTTTGTTTCCATTTTCTCTAAAATCTCATCGTTGCTCATATATTTGATCCATAGTGTCCTCAGCTTTCTTAAATTTGCATTACCATAAAAAGATTTTAAAACCAGCGAATTAATGGAATATCTCCAGACTCTTGTGAGATAAATCTAACAGATAACTCATAATCCATCAAAAATAAAAATACATTTTTAAAATAGCTACAATTCTATAGAAGGATCTATATATAAAATGCTGTGATTTTCGTTAGTCCGTTAGTTCGTCACACCTTCTAAAATAGACATACATTGAAATTTTGGGGAAAAGTGCAAACAGTTAAGGTGGGGGGGCAAAAGTACACTTGGTTTTACTACGGTGCGTAGCTTAGTACAATAAATTTTCATTAATTTTTTGAGAAAAATTAAAAGTTTTACTATTTTACATATAAAATAAACCCCGTATTTTAAGAACGATTTAATGATTAAAATAACAAATACTTATCTATCTATCTATCTATCTATCTATCTATATATATATATATATATATATATATATATATATATATATATATTCTAAGATAAATCTAATTGGTAACTCTTGATACATCAATAATAAAAATACAATTTTAAACTGGATAAGAATACTACGGAAGGATACTGGAAATTCCATGTAGGGAGAGAGAAAGCAAGCAACAAGAAAGTCTTAAAGAAAAGGTTAAGAAAAGACCCACAGAAAGGACCCTCATGAAAGTCAGCTGACATTCCTTGGAGATATAATGAGGAAGGAAGGCTTGGAAAACTTAAAACTCACAGGGCTATATTAAGGGCAAAGAGAGATAAGGGAAGGCAGCTTAACTGACGAAATTGTGTGAATGGGAGGCGGAACAGTGAGGCGGGGGAATTCATCAAAAAGAGAAAAATCTTCAATGAGCCACACGGGATAGAAAGTGACGAGGCAGTCACATGGAAGAAGAATAACAACAATTTTGTAGTAATGATGTCTGGGAAGGAATAAAAATTGTTGCAAGTCATGTTAAATGCGAAACAGAAGAAAATTTATCAAACACAATGAAAAACTGATGAAAGATATAGAATGTGAAAAAGTCCATATTAACAACTGAAATAATAAAATAATAGTTTATTCATGTATGGAGTTAACAGGTTAACCGAAGTGTTGGTGTCCCTATATATTAAGTCTAACCAACCTTCCCTTTGTAATCAGAAGGAATATTTGCCAGGCCTAAATATAATCTGTCTGCGTTTTATGTTGCTGATATTCTCATAGCATTTCACCCCTAATGTTTGTCCTTCTCTTAGACTGGTTTATCAACGAAAGCTAGATAGCCCACTACGTACTTACATTAAACCTGTTCACTCCTGTTTTGAAAATAGGGTCACAGATTCATCATACTAGGTGTTGTTCTGATTTCTGTAGCAAGTTGTTGTTTTTTTTCTTACGGAGTAGAGTTGACAGCTCCATGCTTAATCAGTTGTACTTCTAATAGACTGGTTGTCAACCAAGGCTAGATATCTCAGTGCCACTTTCTATTTAAACCACAGCTTAGAAGGATTACATGATTAAGAAAGATTAATTCAGATAGTTTACCAACACTGGTATTATAGAAGAAGTTTTAATTATTATTATTATATGAATTATAGAAAGATTTTTTAAATTTTAGTAGGGATGACGAAAATGTGGGCAAGGCTTTAAAAAAACTTGTTTAGAAATTAGAATAAGACAAAATAGAAAAAAATGGAAAAAAGAAACTAATAAAAAAACATCCTGGGAACAGAGAAATAGAACAAAATGCAACTGGAGCCTCTTTTCTTGGAAATGTCGCCTACTTTGTTTAATCAATGGGGCGGGATTCAGGCAACAGGTCAAGCAGTGCACTAACCTAAACAATATGGCGAGCCGTTGGATGAACCGGAAGTGTGGGTCATTAACAAAATAATTGTTTATCTTTTGTGTTTGACAGAAAAGTACACAATATTGTCAACTCCATGAAAGAACATAGGATCAAATCACTGACAACAATAGGCGTAAAGGTGAAGCAAGATCTTAAAGGCTAAACCTTTTTCCCCTTTGAGTAATGTTACCCACGCCAAAAGATTGGCATTAGCAGAGAAAGAATTTCAAAATAAAGATTCCGAGTCACGTAGAAACAGGGAACATGGCGGCGTTATTTGCTATTCTCGGCTTCGTTTTAGGTAATTATGTGATTATGTTCTTCTTCCAATAAGGGCACTTACGGTCATATTACACTGAACCCCCGATTCTAGCCGAACTTAAGCAACGCCGAGTCTGGTTAGCATCTAGATGAGTGACCTCTTAGGAATACCAGGTGCTGTAAGTTTCGATGTGTGAGACGTATAGCTTACGGTCATATCACGTTGAAACACTGGTTCTAGTATGATCACCGAAGTTAAGCAACACCGAACCTGGTTACTATCTAGATGGGTGATCTCTTAGGAATACCAGGTGCTGTAAGCTTCGTACAGTCATATCACATTGAAACACTGGTTCTAGTACGATCACCAAAGTTAAGCAACGCCGAATCTGGTTAGTATTTAGATGGGTGACTTCTTAGGAATATCAGGTGCTGCAAACTTGGACGTGCGGACGGTATAATGGATATTGACTCGGAATTGGAAATCGGAGAGCCGAGTTCCAATTCCGATCGGGTTCATTATATTCACTTATGGGCAAACACCTTTGGGGGGGGGGGGAGTATGAATTCACCTCTTCTGCCTCCAGGTATGGGTTAACTTGTAGGACTTGTATCAGTAAATAAATCCTTCTTATCTCCAAAAAGTTTCATACAGTCTAAAGAATTGAAATTTTCTGGATTTAAATAACCTGCAAAAGGTTGATAAGCCGTAAAAAAACAAATCAATCAGTCACTCCAATATCGGCAAACTGCAGTCGTGTGTTTCGGACCGAATGTGCAGGGAGGTCCGTTTCATCGTCTCGGGTATGCTGAAAATGTTGCCAGTCATAATTGTTTGATGCTGACACTGCAGAAAGACCGGTCACCTCTCTTAGATTGATTAGAAAAAAACCGGTTCTCGATCGACGAGATTCTTTGCCATCTACCTCGGCTGTAGAAAACGTGGTTGAAATGTCCGCGCTGCAACTTGTGTTCGTTAAATTCTGCCAGACATTTGAGTACAACATTGTCCCATCGGATTTGTCAATCGCCAAAAAAATGTTGTGTCACTGGAGAAGTTTGATGAAGCGTGACAGGTTGTAGGAAAAGATTACAGAAAGAGGAACCGTGACTATTTTTGGAGCACGTATTTGTCGAGACATACAACCCCAAAGGAAAGGGACTCACGGTCGTACATGGACAGGCGTTAGAAGATTGTGTTAGTCTGGGAAAATAAAAGGGAAAAATTCAACATAAAAAAAGAACAAATCACTTGGACAAAGAAAAGTTAGCGGAGGCGAGTTCTTCGTTCAGTAGTCTGTCTTCTCCCAAAGCGACAAGCAATCATAACCACAACTATGTTACAGCTACTGCTTCAACAGCGACGGCTACGCCTTGAACGCCTACACACAAACACTCTACTCTTATCTCAAGGACATCACTCTTGAGAGCTACTTCACTTCGAACGAAATTTCCGCTTCTTCCTCAACCACCTCCTCCAACAAGTAATTTTCTTCTTAATGTTTCCTGCCCTTCAAGACGTAGGCGATTATAGTCCTCCCCTATTTCTTCTCCTTCGTAGATCTTAATAAATGTTGTCTTTTATTTCTCATAAATCTTGTCCCGCCATTTATTTACTCAAGCTCTCTAGGTAGATTATGGTTTGTTTTCTTCTGCCTTGCTTGCTTTCAATCCGTTCTGTGAGTATCAGATTTTCCAAGCCCTCTTTTCTCATTATGTATCCTAGGAATTTCATCTGCATCTTCCTGATGTTAAGTTCCTTATTTAGCTTTTCCTCCAAAAATTAGTCGTTGCAAATATGTTTGATTTATGGCATCCTCAGCATTCTTAAATTTGCATCACCATAAAAAGTTATCAAAGCCTGCATATTAATGGGATATTCCCAGACACTTCTGGGATAAATCTAACAGATAATTTATGATCTATCAAAAATAAAAATACAAAACGGATAACGATTCTACAGAAGGATACTAAAAATTCCATTGATGGAGTGAGTAAGCAAGCAACAAGGATGTCTTATGGCAACACCGGAAATACTCATTTAGAATCAGGAAAAGCAGCTGAAGTTCTTTGGGTATATAATAAGGAAGGAAGGCTTGAAAAGATTAATCCATTTTGTTTCTATTTTTTGTAGAACTTCGTCCTTGCTAACATATTCATAATTCCATAGGAATTATAGTGAAAAGTGTACATTCGATCATTTCGAACCTTTGTATTTGGAAATTTTCTTTAAATTTTAAAGTGTGCCGAAATGGAATTGCTGATTTTTTCTTGTTTTAAAACTTAATTTTTCAAGGGAAATTTAAAAAAAAATAAATATTAATCAATCGGAAATTTCTTCCTTAATCTATGTTTAAAAGAATTTTTCCATAGAAATTATAGTGAAAAATGTACATTCGATCATTTCGACTCTTTGTATTTCGTCCTTGCTAACATATTCATTGTGTGGTATCCTCAGCATCCTTCTGTAGAGCCTCATTTCTTTTTCTTCGTGTCTCTTTTATATCTTTGTAAAGATTGTTTAGCGTTCACTGCCATACGGGAGGGCAGTACTCAAATAGTTCAGTACCCTTTTCTTTGTTTTAATGTAGATGGCCTCCAATATCTGAAGGTTCTTTTTTCTGTGTGTATGTGTTAGTATTGTTGTGTTATCGTCTAATATCTGTCTAATATTATGAACATGGCTATGTTTTTTCTAAGAAATGTTGTTTAATAGAACTAAGATCAGAAATGTGACAGGTAAGTCTACGGGAGAGTGTGGTTATAGTAAAACCAATATATGTAGTGAGTTTATTATTAATATCAGAGATGCAACCTCTGAATGAGCATGTAGATTGATATACTACATTGTTTTTTGTAGGGGATTTAGTTGTGTGGTTGTAGGGTTATTAGAGACTATGAGGTCAATTGTTTTAAATTTTTCATGATAGTTTTATATCTTTGTGGTGATTGTGCAGTGTTCACTGTCATATAGAAGGACAATTATCACACAAGAGTTCATTACTCTTTTCTTTGTTTCTAACATAGTTGGTTTTGTTTCTTAATACTTTGCTTAGTTTTTGGAAGACATCTTTCGCTATCCCAATGCATCGTTGGATCTCAGTGTCGCACTTTCCGTCCTCAGTTAAAATACGGCTGAAGCTACCCAAAACACTATTTACAGTCCTGACAAAGTTCAAAGAGTTGAAGACGATTATTTTTCATCCTACAACTTATTTCTCGCTATTTCCATGGAAAATGATCAGACGAGCTACTTTCCCACCACTAAGACTCAAGGGGTTATTGGGTGCGAAAGAATAAGAAAAACATTATTACGGAGCGTGAAGAGTAATCAAGAAGACAAGACGATAACGATTGACATTGCATTTAAATAAATCGATAGCATGGAATCAGAAGAGAATTCTAAAAGTGACAAGAGCAAGGAAAAAACTGTTAGCATAGAACTTACGGTTACATTTAGCCAATTTAACTGTGAATTGATGAGACCTTGCTGCCAATCTAGTACTGCATTTAAATTCATAAAGTCTACGTATTATTGCGTAGAATTCACTCGAACAATTACCATGAAAGTATTTATAAAAAAGGCGCAGGTAAATAGTATTACGGCAGTAAGAAAGTGACTGAAGCCGAGATGCCAGGTGATGACCAATAATAAACTTAAGGAATCAGTACATATGCTAAGCGACAAAAATCTCCTGAGCCGAACAAGCATAGAAATGAATACAATATGGGAATCAATAATAAGGAGTGCCAGAGAAAAAGCGATAATAACAACAAAAAAATTGCAATATGTGCTTTAGTAAAAATATGCGATGATAACAGCAAAAATTGCAATATGAGCACTTGTTAAAAAATGGTTGCTGAAGACATTAGTTTTATAATACCCAGAAATTCATACACAGATGTCCTCAAGGACATATGGCACAGTGGATAAAGGCGTTAGTTAGATCCAGTGACAGGACCCAAAGAGTGTGAGTTCAATACCCGATTAAGTTAACTTGGAGAGGGGAATTAACAGGAGATAACTGATAACTGACATCCATTAAACATGGCACGTGGAGCTAGAACAGTCTACCTCAGTTCGGCATTCCAGTCAGCGGTCAAAACTTTGTAATAGATATGGCGATAAAGATGAGGACGATAGTTCGAATAATGTAAATAGTGTACAGAATACCTCATCTCAGAAATATTGACAGATGACCAATAATTCTTCTCTGGATTTTATCAAGAATCTCTAAATATACAGCAAGAACACCGGGCCATATGTGGGAGCAATATTCAAAGCCTGGGCGAATGGTAGGCATATAAACATACAAGGCAGATTCAGGAGAGAAAAAATGTCTAGTGCAACACAGTGAACCAAATTTTTTATCAGCAAACCTAACAATTGATTCAATATTATCTTTCCATTTCATGACAGCCGAGAAAGTTATCCCAAGAAGGCGCAACGAGTCATGTGGAAGGAGGCGGGGTTAGTATCAACCATGCTGATGGAGGCGTTAAAATTAACAAGCCGTTCCTTGCCCCAGTTAACAACAGACCATCAGAAACTTTGGCATCACTATTCGACGCCTATTAAGCTGACATCTCACGCTTCAAGGTACTTGAAACAGCTAGCTGTGAAAGCCCCATAACAAAGAAGGGATCCTGGGAAATATAAAAAGAAAGTGTAGAACAAAACAACACTTATAATTGATGTTCTACCGGGTATACATGACGCTGTTGCCCATGTTTGTCCGTTAACTGGTGCTCATCTACAATAGGTGCAGGAGAGTATTCCTCAATGTCCGAACAAAGGGGTAGGGAAGTTGTCACGAAAGAATAAACACTGCGGGATTAATAATTTTTGGTCCGTAATTTGTTAACACTGGATTTAAGATTTTGTCCGAGGTCTTAAACTGATTGTAGACCATGCTGGATTGGCTGATAGGGCCCCTGGACAGACGTGATAAAAAATATAAAGAGGCGCTTAGATAGCTTACATTTGGTGTATATGATTATAAAGAAAGTCGATGGTGAATCCCAACTGATCAATCGATATACACCCTTGTGCAAATTAATTAAAACAAAACGAATAATTCCATTATTATTTACTATTTTTTTTGTATTTTTCCAATGAAACATAACCCAGTGCTCATGTTAGTACTTTGTATGTCCATTCCACAAAGTCGTTCCTTGACATTCTCAAGACATATTGAAGTCAAATAGGGACCGAGGTAAATATCAAGTAACGTACCAAACGAGCTGGTGTAAATGGATGGCAAAGAAAGGGGTGGGACGACTAGCAAAATGACAATGATAAGAGCAACAAGGGATAGGAAGTCGAAGAGAGCCACGATCACCCAGGTTCTGAAGGAACACGACTCAAAGAAGAATAGAGAGTTATATATGAACATTTGTTACAGCTATTTACGTTACACTCTTGTGTAAATTAATTG